TTCATGGCTTTATTTCTACTTTTGATACAAGAAAAATGTGAAATGATGAAAAAAGCGATTGAATTGATAGCTTTAAATGAGTAAATGAATCAGAATGTGGAGCAATGAAATTTTTACCGACGTTTATCTGTTTGTCCGTTTGTCAGTTAATATCGTAACGGAAATAGTTGTGAACGGATATTGGATTTTCAAATTCTGTCTGTATGTGGACCAAATAAGAAAAGATATGATTTTGGTGATGTTTGAGTGATTAATGGTTTATAGCTAGTTAATAATATGTATGTCTGCCTGTTCGCAAAAATTATGCAAAAATGTTATAACGGACCTTGCTGAAAATTTTCGGAATTTTGTCGGAAGCTGTTGGGGACCACGAAACAAGCACTTAGATTTTGGCGATGATCCATTAATTGATTAATAAATTAACTGATAAAGTCTAAAGGAAAAGTGATGCAAAAATATGTTGAGAGATTTTGAGGAAATTTTCAAGATAAGTCAGTATTTGATAGGTTAGAATTTGATGGTATTAATAAATAAATTATTTAGTTAAGTAGTTGTTTAATTTATTGATTAATTAGTTGATATATCAGTTAATCAATAGTAATGCGAATTGAGCTGGGTTGGCAGAGGTTTGCGCTTTCTGAGAGCTTTTCTAGTATAGCAATGAGTTATCTGTTATTATTTTAAAAGAATGCGTGCGGAGTTTCTTGTGCAAAATATTCCGGTTTTTTGCTACTTTCCCCTTAGAGCCATTTTCATCTTTTCAATTAATCAAGTATATTGTACTTGAACGTTGTAAATGGTATAACGAGCTAAAAACAAACATATGCTAGAAATTTATTTTATATATATATCTTTGTCTACATGTTTATCTTTTCAAGATGATGACTTGATCAAAAATCTATCAGTTTATTTACATAAATGCAACAGGGACAGAAAAAATTATGTTAAGGGCAGAGAAATGTAAAATGCTACAGTATATTTATAAGTATTTAAACGTATCGTATTGATAAATTTAGATATATATCAATCATTCTTAGTATGTAAGTCCATTTGAAGAAAACAAAAAATATATAAAAATGAAGTTAAAGATATAGGCGCGAATTCTACTTTTTCTTAATCCATGATGACGGAATGTGATAAATCAAGGATTCTTATTAATCCATGCCTTGCTTGTACGGGGTCCGAAGAAACGAAAGTTTAGTCCATTTTGGTAAAAGAAGTTTTAAAAATAACAACCCTTTTGGAGGATATTCCGTGGTATTCGTTTTGCATTACGGACAGAATTTTGACTTTTTAAAGTTACTATAAATTAACTGATAAATTAACTGATTCGTATTCGTTTTGCATTACGGACAGAATTTTGACTCTTTTAAGTTACTATAAATATACTATAATACTTTAATGTTACTATAATACGTACATATAATAGTTCAAATTTGGCAGGAATATTGATTAGTGCAAGCCTGAACTTGTGACTTAAAAAATTAAAAAATATTGATTAGTGTATGAAAAATATTAATAACTTATGACCATTACGGGTGGTAAAAAATAGACAAGCATTTTTATTAACTTTAACTTCAAACCTCTGCTCTGTTAGTGATTTTTCAAAGACAAAAGTACATACGGTGTTTTAAACAGAAGACGATGTCCCCGGGGCGAAACTACCTACTCTAAGAGCATACAAAAGTTCTTTTAAAGTGATGGTTGTCCTGCCGCGGACTTAGAGTTAGCGGGAAAAGATCAGGATTGATAACAAAGTACTGTACACGTGAACTCGGCTGTTTCACAATCAGGGTGAACAATTAAATGTGGTTAATGTTACAAGTGTCTGACAAATTAGCAATTTATGATTAGAGATTGCTGATAGATTGATATCAAAGACACTGTTCATAGGAGTAAAATAAAAAAAGAATTATAATAATCGGACCACAATTTACAAAAATATAGCCAATTATGTGTTCAAAAAAGTACCTATTTTTAGCTGTTACGATGGGTCATTTGCAATTAAGGTCATAAATATGATGCACTAGCTCTTTATGTCAATGATTTATGGTGAATATGATATTGATATATAAATCCCACAACATATGTCTTCTCTTCTAGCAGGTTCTTCCAAAGAAATGTTCTGAGAAAAAATTTATTTAACCATTTTGCTGAAACAGGCTTTTGTACACATTTTACTTATTTTTGTTAATGCAATGAAAAACACATTTGATAAGGCCAAATATTAATTTGAAATCACCTACGTGATAATAAGATGAATTTACCATGTTATGACTTAAACATAATATAGGAGTTATGCATATGTAACCATTATTAATAATGCTATGGTATTTATAATCATGAGCCCCTTGGTGTCTCCTAATTTTTGTAGTGTCCGTACGCCCCCTATCTGTTTTATTTAGGAATCACAGCATATTCTGTCTGATTTTATTATTTTATGTATGTCCACACTGATATTTATTTTTCAGGAAGAAAATAGCACATAACCCCTTATTATGAAAAGATATGCAAGAATTTGGTGCCAAATGTAGTGTCCGTACCCATACTGTAGTGTCCGTACCCCCAAGTTATACATTAACCATTGGATAACTGGCTACTTATCAATGATGACAAAACTTCAAAAACTTATGGTACAAAATATTGTTCTAGATTGTATAAAATGCATTCATGACCTATGATGTTTAGAAAAACATTGTATATAAATGTATATTCAATAAAGTTATACTAATTAATAAGAGTCAGGCAAGACATTTTGCAACAAAATAATATCAGTAAAGATGCTACTCTTTGCATTCAAAATGAACAATATTGCTTCCAATATATTGCCAAATATAGTTAATTGCAAAATAATAAATTGTATATGGATTAATATTCTATGGATTAATGTATGTGATATATTTTGAGGGGGTTCGGACACTACAATACATGCATAATTAACAGAGGTATATTTATAATACTCTCAGTGGATGAAGTATCAAACATGGATGACAATGAACAAAAGCCAAATAGGAAAAGAAAAGGGAAACCTGAAATTTTTACTGTCAGCAAAAATAATTTGAAAAAAAAAAACGCCAAAGAGCTAATAGTCATGCTGAAGTACGTAAGGAAGATGTTGAATGCACGTAACATAGCAGAGAAGCAAAAAAATGAAGAATCATCCAAGGCGGCCCCAGCAAGAAAAAACTAAAGATGAGAGAAGAAATTAGGGCATACTGACAGAGAGTCAAGGATAAACAAACCTAACAATCCTGAAAACAGCAGAGCAAGAGGTGCAAATTAACGAAAGATGAAAAAGAAGAAAAGACTCGAAAAACAAGAATCAAGACTGAAACAAAAATCAATCAATCAATCAATCAATCAATGAAAAAGACCAAGCAACAGAAAGAAAAAGTTTAAATTAAAGTCTGGTGAATGAAAGTAAAACTGAATGACACACAACCAAGCGCCAGCATCCACTGAAAAACGTGCTGTGGTGTTTCTCCAAAAATATTTTGATTAATACATGTATTTGTATCCTTTTGGTTAAAGTACTGTTGTTATATATTTATTTTGGTATTTTTAGAATGTTGGCAAAAATAACTGGTAAACAATATGATATTTCAGTTACAAAAGCATCAAATACTTGAATGTTTAGTGTCCATACCCCCAAATCATAGCCTAAGAGGCGTTCTGTTAATTTGAACGTAACACAAAAAATAATTAATATTGTGTTCTAAAAAAGTTGGCTGTCATAGTTAAGATGTTATTCTTTTTATCTGTTACAAAATTAAACAAATGAATCAGAGTTCATTTTTCTCTTAATGTGACCCCTATTTTTACCCCTGATTGTGAAACAGCCGACTCATTATAATGATAATCTTTGTTGCAAAAACGTAATAACAACAAAATTAAATTAGGAAGTAACTTTCCAAACCATATTAATTGAATGACAGATACATGGATCAAACTAGCAACAATATTGGAATTTGATGACAATGTTATTTTTTTCATTCTTCATGTCATCATTTGTCAGCAGAGGAGCGTCTTTCAAATCTTCGACAGATTCAGTTGGGACAACAGTCCCGCACGAACTACTTCATTTTAAGGGCTGTGGTCTCAGTCTTTGCTTAAAGTTCGTATTTCGTGTACAGCGTCTGTGCTGAGGCATCTCTGGCCTCCACATCTTTGCTGCAGTTACATACATGTAGCAAGTCGTCTGCCTGTATCCCAAAGCCGCGATACTGAAATAGAAATCAATAATTCTTACCCAAAGGAAAATACTCACAAGTGTGAATGACATCTTTTTCTTGTTCAAAATTTAAAATGGTCTTCATATTCAAAGAACAGAAAATTCGTGCGATGACTAAAAACTGCACTTGCAACGTTTTCTTTAAGACAGTTTCATTAAAATTTTATACACCTGTATAATGATGGCGTAAAGCCGTCAACAAAGGTGCAAAATTTGAAATAAAACATTTAATAAAAATGGTTAATCAAGTTAACCCAGCTTACCAGCTGACAGGTAAAGATGACTACATTGATAACTGGTCTTACGCCGTTGTTAGTGTCAGATCGTTGTCTACCAGAACTATGAAAAGCCTTTACATTAACGGGTAACTAAATTTTCTGTCGGAAGACGGTCAAAAATGAAGAATGGATCAACAAAGATAATTTGGAAGACTGTCAGAAAATATCTCTGAATCCGCCCCTGTTTAAGGGATAACACCCAGTTGATAAAATCACAAAAACGCCGACAGAAAATTGAGGTTACCTGCTTTGATAGTGGTAGTGTCTTTTCAATTCAATGGACATTTCTTTACCTCTGTGAAAATCACAGTGAAACGTCGGATTTGAAAGGGTACATTTGATAAATGTGAATAAATGGTATTTAATATGGATATCTTCACCGCTAGTTTTTATTTTTCTGTACCACTAATCATGTAAGTTATGGTATCTGGAATGAAAATCACCATTTATAACGATTTTCACCTATGATGTGATCATTTATAAATAAAAGCACATGATATTGGAGATGGGACAACCTTTTTGACCAATGTTGTATGCCTATTCATATTTCCCTCCGTGGCATACATTCAAGAATTTATGCTTTGAAAAAAGTGTACATCCATGTGATGTAAAATTATGCATGGACTTTTGTGTCTGGCCCATTGTATGTCTCCATATCTAACAGCACTTGACTCGCAGATGATACGGTAGGAACAAAAATAAGGGGTGGATGCTGATAAAATTGATGATATCGATCATAGAGCAAGGTCTAATTGATTACGCAGAAAGAGAACAGTCAATAGTTGTTTAATGGGTGCATTTGCAGGACTATACAAAGGGCGTATTTATCATTCTGTGAAGATATGTATTTAAAACAAAACAGACATATATAGAATTCATGAGACAGATATATATAATTTAGAGACAGCAGAAACCATCTGTTAGATGATATTAAAAATGCATAGGCACTTCTTGAATGTATACCACGAAGGGAAATATGAATAGGCATTTAGCCTTTTCCACTGCAATGAATGGAGACGGCTTTGGCCGTCCTGCTTCTCCTAAGAAAGAACTTTGAAAAACTAATATAAACAAATCATTTTGCCACTCTCTCGCGACATATAACTTAATTGAAATTTCTCCTTATATTGTAACTGGCTTCATTATGATTACTCCAAACGTAATAATCAAAGATAAAACAGATCCGCCTCATTTATACATAAACAGATATGGAGGCGATCGTGATCCTTAGCATGTGCCCTAATCATATCTTCACGTCAGATAAATTTATCACACCAGTGCCTGTATGTACAACAGTGTTAAGAGAAAAACGTATACATACGTACAAGTAAGTAGATTTATTCATGCGATTTCTATTAGAAATTGAATTTTCAACGTTCGAACAAATGTTGTCTTCGCATTTCAATATTTCATAAATATTGTCTTTTTCTTTTTACCTTACAGAAAAAAAATGGATTTAAAGTTCACGGCGTTCAATGATCGTGTCACATGCTGCAAGTGCAGTAAATACTTCAAATGCCCACGTCGCCTGACCTGCAGCTGTGCACTCTGCAACAACTGCGTTCCTCGGGATCCTGCGAATAACCGCTTTTCGTGTCCTTCGTGTTTATCTGAGAGTAGAAAGCTGCAATTTGGAAACTTTTTCCTAGCTCGTCCGGAGCATGCATTAGCCACCATTCAGCAATATATTTGTCATTCAGAAGTTTTGAATTGTGAATGTTGCATAAGCCAAACTTTGTGCAAAGTGAGCGTGGTTGCATGGTGCAGCTCTCCAGAATGCGGGTTCATGTGTGACCACGGGCTGCATGCACACATGAATATGAAACCATTACGGCGCCATACTTTTTACAGTGAGTTGCAACTGCGCTTTTTGTTTCACAATCTTAACCGGTCGCAGGTTACCTTGAGTACCCCACCGATCCAAGTTTCGCGCGAAACTCATTGTTGTTCGCACAGCAAAGAGGTGTTGAACTTTTACTGCATGAGCTGCTCCGAGATATTATGTGCCGAGGGGGCAGAAAATCATCCAGATGGGCACGACATAAATGAACATTTAAATGTTGTTTTTTCTCGTTTAAAATGTGACGAAAACATTGGAAGACTAGTAGATCGGGCAATGGGAAAAGTTCGCGAATCACGGGAACGCCAACAAATTCTCATGTCACAAGGATCTCAGTGCAACGACAACCTAGGTCTCAAAACTAAACTTCAGTCGTGGACTGTGGAACTGGACAAATCATGCCATAAATTAGAGGCTGTGATCAAATCAGCTCTAAATATTTTGGACTGGATCAAGGTGGAAAGTCCTTATTTAGTTCTAATAGAATATAAGCGAATCAATGCCAATTTAGAGGAATGTATTCAGGATGCAGATGAAGTTCTCAATAATTCAGTTGTAAAGTAAACTCATCGACTAAACAATATGTGACCTCTTGAAAAAAGCTAACATTACAAAAAGATATTTCGATTATATATGAATTATTTCATACAAGTCGGCAACTATTGAAGTATATCTCTACAAAAACTATTTTCGTCAATGAAACTGATGCTAGCAGTTATACATATTATATTAATTATTATATTATAAACCTAAATAACGTTACAATGATTCATTAATTTGGTTAATTACGATTTTTAAAATATAAGTGCAAGTATAATTGATTCGTGTCATGCAATATATACCGTTTATTGTTTTTAATGTTGAGAAAAAAGTGTATGCTATTTTAAATATTATCATTTCGCATATTAATTGTTTGGAGCATTTTTCCAAACCAGACCATTTCATAGTAGGGCATTTTTACTGTTTTTTTTTTTAATTTTGCATGCACAGTGAATTAATCATCATTTGCTTAAGATATACGTATTTCCTTATAATTTTCTCACTAAAAATTATGGTATCAATAAACTGACAGAATACTATTTAAAACGCGTTTAATTTATGCATATATTTATCCTAGGACATCCTTGAGGTAAAGAACTTGATACTGGAATGGCAAGTTGGCTAAGCGTTTTTTACGTCCTTATTTGTTTATTTATTTATTTTTATCATTATTATTTTTTAAATAAACATTTGAAACAGACTTCTGCGGCTATTAATGATTAATTAGGCGGTTCTAAACTACTATATAAATTAAACCTATTTTTTCTCATAGACGTGGTGGCCAGTTGCAAAACATTTCGTTTTAATTTATAAAGTATTGTTTTTGCCTTTTTATGGTGTTGCAGTTTCATAACTCCTACTGTGACCATTTCTATCACGATTGCATCGTTTGTACAACAAAAAGCACCATTAGATCAAGATATGAATTTTCGTCAACAAGCGGTTGAATATCTAAAGATTAAAAACATTTTATTTAGTTTCGTAATCAGGTAACCCTCACTCTTCTTAAAAAACTGAAATAGCTGATCATGAGGTAGACCGCCAGGAAATTTTTGATTCTTTAATCAAATTTAAATCGTTTATAAATGCATTTTCAATCTTTTAAAAACGATTAAAGAGAAAATTGAAAATGTTAAAGAAGGGTCTTGTGCATTCCACGCAATTATTTTTCTTTTTAAAAATATATAAGGCTACCTGATGCGAAGCAAAGTAACAAGATATACACAAAACCCAATATAGAGGTGCATTTTACATGCTGAAGTGTCCAAAAATGAAATTGAATGAATTCAAAGTTGCATTCAATTTTTTTTAAAACGTGTGTGTGTGTGTGTGTGTGTGTGTGTGTGTGTAGAACAAAAGTCCACGACTGTCTCAATTTAAATTCAAATTTCAATTTTTACCATGTCTTTTACATTAGCCCTAAATGGTAACGTATGTTCCAAAAAAACGCACGGTAACCGTATGTTCCGGGTCATTTAATTTTAATTTTTATACCGCGTTCCGATAGATTTTGTAGTGGTTCAGTCATGGTAAATTAGACATGACGTAAGGATGTTTTTATAAATATTTAAACTGTAACTCAAGGGGCTTTGCGTCATGGCTAATACTAGGTAACGTAACTTCCCTAGAAAAATTGTCAAAATGTTTCATTTTGTTCAAGTACTTGGTGCAAGAGAAAACAATATCATCTTTAGCTGACCGAAAAATATATTGTGATTCCATAATAGTGTGACATTTCTGACACATGTATAATATTTGGAGCACGAGGGGAAAAATAATTTATTAAATGCTTATTTTACTGTCGGTAGGGTGTATTTTGCCTGTTTTTTAATATTCAGTGACAAGCAAACTTAAGTTGCTCAAAGACAATTAATTGCTCTATACCTCAATTGCACCTCTATTGCACCTCTAATATTCGGTTTGGGTGTACATGTGCCTTTTTTCAGTCACATGATTGATAAAGCGATGTCGAATCAGGTACCAGCACGTTGCATTTATTTTCCTCATATGGGCATGCATTCCTTGTGGATCTTATCACTAAAAATCAATACCTATATATATATATATATGGACGATGTATGTGCTGCCGCCATTTCTTGGCGACAAGATTTGAACAAGAGTAGGCCTTTTGTCATGGCAGCACAATCAACCCAAAGCGTTTTTTCAGATTTGTTCATGAAACCTCTGTATGTCCATTGGCAACAAAAAAATGGCGCAGGCAGCTCGAGTATGAAATATCCACATTCGTTCATGATACCAACTCCCCAAGTAGATGCGAGTTTAAGGCAAGCAAAGGGTGCACAAAGTCTTTCAGAACCTGTGGACAAAATGGACTTTCCTTTACCGCTGGGATCACAAGGTACATTTCTACAGGGAGGGGTAGCATATTCAACTAGTATCATTGGCTTACAAATGCAAATAACGGGAAATATTCTCAATCCAATATATTCGGACCCAGAGCTGTATGAAAAACTTTCAATATTTGAAGCTATTAAGCAGGGCCGCTTGTCATCGATAGGTTGTCAAAGTTGTCCAAGCAGAGGTGTTGCCAAAATGTATTGTAAATTCTGCAATTCTTTCCTGTGTGAAACGTGCACAGACAGCCACAAGAGTTTAAAATGTTTTATACCTCATGAACTGTTGACACTAAAAGAAGTTGTAGATAACCCACGACACATATTTGACCAAGCAAATTGTTCCAGTCATCCAGGCAGAAAACTTAACAAGTATTGCCCGAAGTGCAAGATTCCGGTATGTAGAGACTGCATAATAGTTAAGCACAGGGATCACAAAGCTGAAATTGTAGACATTTCTAGTGAAACCGATCAACGTCTCGCCGAACTGAAAAAAGGCGTTCGGGAATACGATGACTCTTCACAAAACATTGAAAAAAACTAGCAGATCTCCGCGACAAGCGTGTTTCTCTCCAAGAAAATACAGTGAAAGTGGACATAAGAATTGATGCCCGATTTTCAGAATTGCAAGAACTTCTTGCTCAGAAACATGCACAGTTAAAGGAACATATCTTTGAGCAGTACATCGACCAAGACAGAGCAATTCAGTCTGAAATGAATGAGCTAATAAGGTTGATGGGCGAAAATAAAGCAGCTGTAAAAAGTACAATAAAAATCCTCGAATTAGCGGAACCCATAAACATTGTACTGTACAGGCCGATTTATGAGAATGTTTGCAGATCCACCCGCATGGTTTTAGAAAGCGCCAGACCTTTAGTGGAAGGAAAACAACAAGGCGACAAAAACGTGACTTTTGTTGATGAAAAGGCCCTTGAGATTTTTTTCAAAACTTTAGTGGAGGCGCTTTCAAATGTTAAGTATCCCGTTTTGATGTAATGCTCTTTTTGTTTTTTAATGTGTGTCATTTTTTAACAGACACCAAACTAACTGCAAATTTTATTGTGTAAGGGCCATGTTCTCTTTGAAAGAAGGTTAAGTTTGAAAATATTCATAGATTTGATACAACAAAAATGTGAAATGATGAGACAAGCGATTGGATTGATAGCTTTAAATGAGTAAATGGAGCAATGAATTTTTTACCGCCGTTTATCTGTTCGTCCGTTTGTCAAATAGTATCGTAACGGCAATAGTTGTGAACGGATATCGATGAAATTTCCAAATTGTGCCAGGATGTAGACCAAATAAGAAAAGATGTGATTTTGGTGATAATAAAGTGATAAATGGTTTGTAGTTAGTAAATATTATGTACTGTATGTCTGCCTGTTAGCAAAATTATGCAAAATGTTATAAATGGACTTTGCTGAAAAAATTTCGGAAATTTTTTCGGAAGCTGTTTGAAGGGGGCAAGTAACAAGCAATTAGATTTGGGCGATGATCCATTAATTGATTATTAAATTAATTGATGAAGTCTAAAAGCAACGTTATGCAAAAACATATTGAGAGATTTTGAGGAAATTTTCAGGATCGGTCAGTATTTGATAGGTTAGAACTTGATGGTTTTAATTAGTTATTTAGTGAAGTAGTTGATTAATTGATTAATTTATTAGTTACGGGGATTTGTTTTCTAAGAGTTTTTCTAGTGTAGAAAACGAGTTATCTGTTGTTATTTTAAAAGCATGCATGCGGAGTTTTTGTGCGAAAAACTCCGGGTTTTGCTACTTTTCCTTCAAAGCCATTTTCATCTTTTCAATTAATCAGACATACTGTATTTGAACGCTGTAAGTGGTATAATGAGCTAAAAAAACATACATGAAGGACGTTTATTAAATATCTTTGTCAACATGTTCATCAAGATGAAATGTTAAAGTATATATATATATATATATATATATATATATCACTCTATTTGAAGAGAACAGAAAAGTTATAAATGAAATTAAAGATATAGTCGCGAATCTACTTTTTCTTAATCCCTGATGACAGGAAGTGATGAATCTGGGATTTCTTTTTATTAATTATTGTACATTTTTCAAATTCCTGCCATCCTAGTATGGGACCGAAGTAACGAAGGTTTGGCCTATATTGGTAACGAAAGTTTTAAAAATAACAACCCTTTTGGATAATATTCGCACATTATTAATGGGGCATCGTTTTGCATTACGGACAGAATTTTGGTTCTTTCAAATTGCATTTCATTAATACTATAATACTATATTAAATACATGTTCAAATTTTGCAGGAATATCGATTAGTGCAAGCCTAAACTTGCGACTTAAAAACTTCAAAAAACATTTTTCAGTCTTATTTTTCAGGCAACCAAATCCAAGATGGCGGTCATTTTCCTTTTTTTATATAGATACAAGTACCTTAATTTGACTTTTTTATTAACCAAAAATCAGGAATATTTTACATGTTTTGATGGATTAGAATTAGTTGTAATCTTTACTTTCAATTTATACCAGTTACACTATCTTTTAATTGTATATTTGAACTAGTTTTGCTAGTTTGATATGTCAACAAGTCATTCTTACTATAAACATCTCAGAATACATAATGAAGGTTTTTAATGCATTAGTTATGGGACGATATACATGACTGAATAATTAAAATTGTTTTAAGGCTTTTGTTCAACCTCTAATTAAACTATAAGCAAATTATAAATACATATATTTTGATAAGTGCATGTGCACTGCATTGTTTTTTTTTTTATGTTAAGAATCTTCATTTTGCCAAAAGGTAGTTATTTTAGCTTCAGTCATCAAGATGGTCACCAACCAAAAAGAATTTGAGGTTACGATGCATGTGTAGATGAAAACACACCAATATATATGTATAAGACCTGCTAGAATGTTTATCTATGTGCTTTTTAATGTGATTATGAAACGAGTGTTATCGCTCAATAGTTCAAACAAACATAGATTTTCTTGATTGCCACAATTTTCAAAATGATTACCATTATGGAGAGTTGCATCATATGATCTTTGATTCATTTAAGTGAAAAATATTAAATTGAATGACAATGATATGAAAATCGTACATCTATTCTTATGTGTTTGCATTAAATAAAATGTTATCTTGCAACTGAGAAAATTTAAATCGCTTTATACATTAACCACAAACATATT